TGTGTAATTGTCATTCTACAAAAAAAAAAGAAAGTGGTCTAAAGGTTATAACTGCATATATGTTTAAGTATATAAGATAGATAACCTTATTACTGAGTGTTTTTTTTGGATCATTGAACAAAACTGTTTGCACTCTCATTGCTTCAAAGTCTACTTTATGTGCTTCAATTTTGTAACTTGAACAACTATTTCTAAGATGAGAATATGTAATCTTATTAACTAGTGATTTCTTATTGTTTATTTTTTAAATTTCATATTACTTGTACCCTTTTTCTGGTTTTTTTCCTTTTTCTCCTTAAAAAAAAAAGAAAAATACTCTATCCCAAATAATATAACCATTCAGCAGATAAAAAAAATAGACTGGTTATCTGTGACTTAATACCTGATTTCTCTCCAAAACAAACAATGTTTGTCCCTATCATAAAGATACAGTTTCAGATCAAAGAGACCTGTTAGAGAAACTACTTGTTCTAAAGCAAAAATTCTCAAAATAGGGACCACTTTGCCCCCCCAAAAGAGAAGTGCAATGTCTGAGTTTTGGTTGCCATCACTGGAGAAATTGTATAGACTTGCACTGGGTCAAAGCTAGGAACCGCAGTAAAGCATCCTGCAACACAGGCACACAGTCAGGTGGCCCCAGATGTCAGCAGTTTTTCAGTGGAGAAACAAGTGTTTTCCAAGCACAGGAGACAGGGCCTTGCTGTGTAGTCCAGGCTGGCCCCAAACTCCCAGCAAACCTCTTGCCTCAGCCTCCTGAGTGCTGGGATTACAGGAGGGCACCACCATTCCTGGCAAGCACTGTCTCCTATGACCTTCATTATGTAATACACTGGTGGCAGTGACCTATGGCATGTGTGCTGCAGTGGACACACGCAGCCCTCTCTGTCAGTACACAGGAGTTGCTTTTCATAAACTAAAATCTTAGTGTTCAAGGTAACCTCCGTGCTCAACTCCAGGATAGCAGGTTTGAGGTTGTAGTTTGGGTGCTCCATATCTAAAAGGTTCCCCATCACTGGTTTAGACTCATACATCACAAACACTTCCATCAGGTTTCAGGTAAGAACATCTTCCCGTTCCCATTTTAACTGTTCTGATCTGCAAAACTGATGGTCTATGGAGCATATTTTGAGAAACAATGCTCTACAGGACAACATAAAAGTTTCCAAACTAGATTCAGTGACACAATCCTGTCAGTCCAGCACTCTGGGAGGCTGATGCAAGACGATTACAAATTCGCACCCAGAATGGGCATTTAGTGAGACCCTGTCAAAATTTAAAAAAAAAAAAAAAAAAAAAGGGTGAAAATGTAGTTCACTGTGGAGGCCCTGGACTCAACCCCCAGTACCATCACCACCACCAGAAAAAGTTTCTAGGGACCTAATAATAAATATGTAATTCAACAAGGAATCTATATGGAATAAGATATAATCATAATAATGAACAGCAGCATGTTATCTTCTATACTTTAAAAGAATTTACAACTTTCTATCTCTGACAACCTAAAATATAAAAACCAGCCTTAGAAATGATTCCCAAGGGTACTTTATCACTTAAAGCTGGCCTGCTTGCAGTTCCCCATGCTGCACTGCAAAAAAGAAAAACAAAAAGACAGAAGTGCTCCCATAGGCCTGTAATCCCAGCTACTTGTGAGACTGAGGCAGGACTGTAATTCGAAATAAAAAAGAAAAAAGAAATCATAAAGGGCGATTCAGCTCTTAGCATGTGCAAGGCCCCTGCTTCAATCTAACCCCTCATACTGCCCCCCTCAAAATATATAACAAAACCCCAAAACATTACCACACAAATAAGTTTTTTCTTTTTGTCTATTCAGTCAGACAATGCTTTCATTTAATCAAAGGAGAGTTACACACAGTAAAGAAACTCAAAAACAATGATACAATACATGAACTATTCTGCATAAAATCAAGAAGTTAGTAATAAGCAGCAGAATTAGTGTGGTCATGAAGGGCTTCGAAAAGGAAAAAAAAAAAATCCTGAGATTAAAATTCAGACTCTACTAATTACTACTTGAATGAGCTGTACAACCACTAAGGCTGTCTCCTTTTTAAATGAGGACTAATGTCTTACAGGGCTCTTGCGAGGATTAGAGAAAATAACATCAGCATGGAGTAAGAACTCATTAAATACTCTTTCCTTGCCTGCCCAGCTCTCAATATAATATCCTCCCCTCCAAAACTTCCCAGTGCAGTCAGTATCTTCTTATAGGTGCACAGAAAAATGAGGAAAAAGGCAGACTGACCATCAAACTGTATTCTAGTAAACAATCTAGCCCTGCTCCAGGCCTACTGACAAACACCAACTACACAGTCAAGCAACAGAACCAACAGAATGAAGTGTTCAGGATTAGAGGAAAAACTGAAGAACTAGAAGAAAATAGGCAAAAGATTATCTTATGCAAATTTTTATTAAAATTATCCAAATTTAATCAGTCAGTTAGCATAAAAGGTTTTCTTTAGCTGACTGTTATCAAACCAAAACTCAAATTACTATGGCTTCCCACCAAGAAAATTAAATGGTCTAATCCTGACATGGGTGTTCACCTGGATGTCAGTGACTGCTTATCTAATCCAGCCCTATAATAAATCTCCAGCTATAAAAAAGAAATACTCCCTAGCCCTACCTACCATGAAAGACTATTGTCTAGATAACAGAGGTGAAAAATTTCTCCGTAAGATTTTTCATAGAAATAAGAGAGCCAGGCCTGGCGGTGCACTCATGAGGCTGGGGCAGGAGTTCGAGGCCAGCCTGGGCTACATAGTGAGTTCAAGGCTGGTTTAAGCCACATGGCAAAGACCCTGTCTCAAACCACCCTAAAAAAAAAAAAAAAAAAATCCATGAACAAAGAATAATTTGTATCAATATTTAAAATGGCCTACAACTGCTTTGAAATACATTGGTCTAAATAAATTAAGTAGAGAAATAACTGATTTAATTCTAGTAAACAAATGAATAATTCTAAAATATATTGCACTTATGTGCATCGCATGGAAGTGCAGTACTGAAAATAAAACTAATTTTTTATAGTTATGAGGACATTCAGAGTCAAAATAAAGGATACAGTAAACAACACACTTGGTAATTTTTTTAGTTTGACCATAAAAACGAGTTCTCATTTGGATAGCTTTACTGGAGGCTATTTGGATTGGATACCTGATCCATATGACCAAATGGTAATAACAGTAAAACTTCATACAACAAAATCTTAATTTCTTTTAGATTCAGCCATCAAAAATACCTCTTTTTCTAGTCTTGCTCACCAAGGACATCCTAAGAAAGATTTCCGTTGGCTGCTAAGATCAAGAAGAAAATGATGTCAAATTCCTATGCAGTGTTTTTCGCGGCTAAATCACCCCCGTCAAGGCTCAGAAAACCAGAGTTTTAACCTTCAAATAAATACAATACTTTAAACAAATACAATAACTTCATTAACTATATGCAATTAATTTAGAAATAGTGATTATTTTTTGCTATCCCAAGAATAAATTAGTAGTAATTAGTCCAGGCTGGCCAGTGCACTACACAGGCCAGGGATTCCTAATTCCTCCCGTCTCGGCCTCCTGAATGCTTGGATTTAACCTCCCTTTTTCATTTTTGACATGACAAAATTAAAACCCACCCCCACTATTTTTTCTTCCTTCCAATTAAAGACAACTACTAGAACACACGTCAGAAGCCAAGAGGATAAAGACACTTCAGCACGTAAGTTCAGTGTTACACACTTCTGCTCAGGACCTTACCCACTCCTTAAACTTTTCCTGGGTAAGTGCTTCACATCAGTGGGTGTGCACTGCACCCTCCGGGAGAGATTTAAATTAAAATAGATGTCTGTCTAGGAGCCCAGAGGTTTGGAGGTCAGGATTTTTCACAGCAAACAAGTTGAAAAGCACTATCCTAGAACAGTCCTATGGTTTAAAACCACACCTGAAACAGGTTCTGGTTTGTTTGTTTGTTTGTTTGTTTGTTTTTAAATTTCCAAAATGGAGGGAGGACGAAGACAGTTGTGGAGCGGCGCTAAAATCAGAAACACAAACTTCACTGCTTTACACTGCCAGTCTAGAGTATGGCCAGCCCCAAACACTGGGCATCCTCCAACCCCCACCTCCGCGGGCTGTCCAGGGTGGTTCTGCTTAATATTACATAATTTATGAAAGTAAAAAGTTTAGTTCTATGCTTAGTCTTTTAAAAGCTACTTATTACCTTGCTTTCTATGAGAAACTGGGTTGCCTGGCGGCTGGAGGATACGCCTACGATTTTCCCTGGCGTAAACTAGCAAATACGGGGCATGGTAACGTGGTCTTGGAAGCCTAGCCAAAGGCCCCGAGCTCTATGCCCAAAAGTGGGGCTCAAGTTCGCGCCGCGCCCCGGGGACACCCGCCCAGGTTCAGTTCGCTTCCTGTACCAAACAACTTTCCCCGGGTCCCTTTCCTCGGAGCCCGGGTAAAGGACCCCAACAAAGAACAACTGTCTTGCAGCGCGACTGACATCGAGGAAATAAACACGCGGGGGCGGGAAGGGATACATTCAAAGTTGCGAGGAGAAAGAAACCCATGCGCGGGGAGCAGAAAGTCCTCCCCGTTCCCGAAGCTGGTTTTTCTCCCAAGTCTAGGCGGGGGAAACAAACAGGGGCGGCCGCGCGTGGAAGAAGCGCGCCGCACAGCTGGGTGTCCGCAAACAGACTCCGGGGGGCCCCGAGCCGCCCAGGGACCGAAGGGCGCCGGGGGGCCGCGGGCGGCCTGGGGCGCGCCTGGGCCTCGGCCGAGCGGGGTCCCCGAGGGCCGGGGCCCCCCGGACGGCGCGGAGCCGGGAGCCTCGCGGGTGCCGTAGGCCCGGGCCGAGGCGGCGGCGCGGAGGGGACCCCGGGCCGGGCGAAGGGGTGCGGGGGCACGGGGCTGACAGCTGCCGGGAGGCGGAGCGCGGCGCAGGCCCGGCCGCCCGGGGACCGCCAGCCCGAGTCCCCGGGCCGCGCGCAGCCCCGTTACCTTGTCGCAGTAGAGCCCCACCAGCTGCTTCATCCGCCAGTGCGGCGCGGTGAAGACGTCCACCTCGTCAGGGAAGGGCGCCATCGCCGCGGCCTCAGCCTCCGCTCCTTCAGCAGCCGCGGTCGCCGCCTCTCCATAGACACCCTCGCCGCGGGGCAGAGGCGGCGCGCCCCCCTGCGCATGCGCCCGCCCCGTCGGCGCGCGCGCCCGGGCCGCCCCGCCGGCCGAGACGCGAGGGCGCGCGGGCCGCCGCCATGCGGTCCCCCGAGCCACGTGACCCGAGGCGCGCGGAGGCCGCCGCCACCCCCATGTCGGCCTGTGCGCGCCGGCTCCGGGTCCCCGGCAGGGGCGGAGCTGCTGCCAGTGGTTGCGCGGCTTAGAAACACGCGCTGCCAGCGGCGGGTGATGTCTAGTGGGGACCGGTGCAGAGGCCGCGTTGCGCTAGGCGGCGCCTGCCCAGGGCTTCCCAGAGCCGCCCTCCATCCACTGCGCTCCGCCGGGGTCCGCGGTCCACGAGGCTCGGGAGCGCTAGGCGCGGCCTGCGGACCCGGGACCTGGAGGCCTGATGCAGAGAGCACTTCGCTGCAGACTCCTCGTTAGCCCAGGGACTGCAGAGAGCAGGAGACCCACAACGCCTCCCCTCCCCCCGCGAGGGCAGAGCAGGCTGCCTCTCCCCATGGCCACCGGTCCTGGCCGCCTCTCCCAGCTGGGCAGATAAGAGAACGCGAGGCTGAGCACCTGGTAGAGGACTCGTTACTTGCGGGAGGGCCATCAACTAAAGCAAGGAGGGAATCAGAGGTGCTTTAACCACCCGTGTAACGCCAGTGTCCATCAGTTTCATGACAACATAGGAACTCACGATACATATCCACAATGGTGCAGTAAAAGGAAGAGAGGGAGCCTCACTGTGGAGCGAAGCTGCCTAGTTCTAATCCTGTGCCTTTTTTTGACAAGCAACAGGAGCTGTGCTTAAAATCAGACTCTAGAGATGAAGGTGAGATTCTTGGTTTTGCCAAATGCTAACAGTAGGACCTTGGGCAACCCACAGGGTCTTTTCCTATGTCTCATTTCCCTGTTATATAAAATGGTAAGAGTCAGATGTGGTGGCACATGCCTGTAACCCCAGCACTAGGGAGGCCAACGCAAGAGGATGGAGGCTAGCCGGACTACATAGCAAGACCCTGTCTCAGACACAAAAACTGGGAATGATAATACCTAGTAGAGCCGGGTATGGTGGCAGGCCTGTAAGTCCAGCACTGAGGAGGTTAAGTAGGAGGATCAGAGCAAGTTTGAGACCAGCCTGGGCTGCAAAGTAAACCCAAGGCCAGCCTGAACTGCATAGTGAGACCTTGTCTCAAAAAGATGAAAATAAAATTAAAAACCTACTTGATAGGATTTTTATGAAGATTAAAGAACAATAACACGAATTTCTTCACAGATCTTCTACCTCCCTTTGTTACCCTGTCACTTTGTGTCCTTTGGTCATCACAGTCCTCGTTCTCCCACTGTACCTTTTAAGACAAGATCTCACTCTTGCTCAGGCTGGCCTTGAACTCATCATGTAGTGTAGGTTAGCCTTGATTTCACAGTGCTCCCCCTGCCTCAGCCTCCCAAGTGCAGGGATTACAACACTATGCCCAATTCGACTCTGCCCTTTTGCCTAGAGCTTTGAAGCCTCTGTACTTAATATCCCTCAAAGACATTTTATTTATTCCCTATTTCTTTATTCTGATCTTTCACTCTGAGACCTCAGATGAGCCAGTTAATATAGAGAAATGAACCCGGTAAGAACATGCACTTTTTTTGATTCTCAGCACTTAGAACATTGCCGTTAGTGCTCAATAAATGTGGAGTAAAAAAGGAGTAAGGGAAGATCATGGCTTTCCTTTAATGTCCTCATTTTAACTAACTTTAAATATGCTGCGTTGTGTTTCCCTTCCACCTTTTTTCTCTGTGTTGTCCACTAGCAAAACCCTAGAGCCAGGCACATTAAAAATTGACAACCAAGATGTTCATCCTCACAGTTTAGCTGTAACCCAGATTCGAAGCTGTGTTGTCAGTTGATGAGAAGTAACAGGTACTTTGGACTCTAGGCATTTCACAGAATTTAAGAAGACACAATGAAAACATTAAAGTATTAAAAGAAAAGAAAGCACTGTGATCATTTTTGTTTTCTAAAGAAACTGTTACTGTTAGCTCCACAGCTGAGTAATGTAGCAATTCATCACCTGAACTACAGAATAAATGATTAATTTAAATTGAACTTTAGCTCAGAGACTCTAATTGACTTTTGCCTCTATGATTAACAGACAGCAACTGTCACTGAGGCTCAGCTGGTCAGCTTAACTAGCTATGTATGATTTCTTCAAGTATGACAGCAGCAGATTCTAAGATCATCCAGCCACTGGCTATCACCAGAAGACCACATAAGACAGGTAATAGAGCACTTAAAACCCACATGGTAAACCTGGCCAGGTGGCACACACCTGTAAGGCCAGCACTGTGGGGAGGAGGGGGACTGAGTTGGTAAGATGGCAAGTCCTAGCCCAACCTGGTAAGTTCTCTTCACAAAACAGAGTTTAAAAAAAAGGTGGGGGTGGCTAAGCATGGTGGCACATGCCTCTAATCACAGCACTTGGAAGGCTGAGGCAGGACTGCTGTGAGTTCAAAGCCAGCCTGGGCTCAAAGTTCAAAATCAGCCTTAACAACACAGTGAGACCCTATCTCAAAAATCTAAATAAATAAATAAATAAATAAAATAAAAAGAACTGAGGATTACAGCTCATGCAAGGACCCTGGGTTCCATCCCTAGTAAGGAGTGGGGTTGGAGGACAAAGGGAACAGAGCCTTATGGAATTGGTAAGTCCCTCCCCATTTTTTTATTAGGTAAGCTTTTGTAACTTGCTAAATTGTCCAGGCTGGGATTAAACTTGGGATCTTCTTCCCTGGCCTCCCAAGCTGCCAGAATTACAAACGTACCACCAGGCCCGGGTTCTCTTCCCTACTCTTACTCCCTCTGAAGACTGCATGCTGGGAAGGGAGGAAAAAATTTTTCTTGACAACTTAAAAAACAGTGACACTAGGCCTCTTCTGTAGAATTTTCCAACACTAGTTTGGAGGGGTCTGGAAAAGATTATTAATCAAGAAAGGTTGGTTCTAAGGCTTTTTAATTTGAGAATGTGACACTGTAGTTTCCCTAGTGTCTTGGTTAATTTTTTCTCATGCTGAGACAAAATACCTCACCCCCAAAATTAAGAAAGAAAAGGTTTATTTAGCTTACAGTTTGGGGAGGTTTTAGTGCAGAATCAGCAGACTCCAAGGCAGGGTGGCACACTGCAAGGCTGCAAGACAGTGAAGCAGATGGAAGGAGCCTCTTTCCCTCCATTATATTATAAACAGCCTTCCTACAGGGTGGGTGAAGCACTCATATCATCTCTCTGCCCTTCTCTTGCAGAGGATGAGGATGTTTACAAAGTGAGGCTCCAGCCCCCTGCTGAGTCACTTAGTGAAAACTTCTAAACTTCTCCTAGAGCCCTAAAGGCATGTCCTCCACACTCCAGGATGTAGAGCTAACTGCTCAGTTAAGCTTTTAGAGTTCTCAAGTTGATACAATGTATCAAACATAACAGGCAGTAAAGGATTAGCTGTGAAATAAGCAATGAAAGAAATGTCTAGAGTAAAAAACAATTGCAGTCAGTCCTGACTCAGTCCCAGAATTGATGTACTGTCACCAGTCAAAATAGCTAATCAACAACTGCTACAAGAAACTCCATTTGGTGATAAAGTAGGAATAATGTTATTATTGAAAGAAAACAGCCAATGAGTAGCAATGTAACATCAAATACTTTTTAAATTTTCCTTTATATGCACATGAAATTTGCATATGTTTAATGAAATTTTGCATATATTTAATAAAATACATACTTATATTTGTCTGCAGTTTCTTCAAATCCTTCTTTTTTGCTTTCCTCCCTTGCCTTCTTTTCCTTTTTGCAGTACTGGGATTAAATCCAGGGTTTCATGCATGCTAAAAAAGCACTTTTTCATTGAGTTACAGCCTGGCCTTTTAAAATTTTTGTTTTGTGAGACTCACATTAAGTTGCCCAAGCCATCACTGAACTCAAGAACCTTTTCTCTCAGGCCTGCAAAGTAGGTAGATTTCAGGAGTGTACACTGCACTTGACTCTAATTACTATTCCCAAATTGATTTTACCTATATAATTATGGATGAGTTGCCGTGTGTATTAGTTTATTAGGGCTGTAATAACAAAATACCATCCACTAAGTTGCCTAAATAACAGAAACTTATTTCACATAGTTCTGGAGGCCAGAAATCCAAGACCAAAGCATCAGCGGGTCTAGTTTTTTCTGAGGTTTCTTCCCTCAGCTTGTAGATCACCTCTTTCTCAAAGTGTCCTCACACAACCTTTTCTCTATGGCTGTGCATGTGACCTGGCCCCACAGTCTTACAGATAGGTTGAGATAGGTTGGATTGTTTCCTCCAATCACTGCATTTTAATTTCATCATTCTTTAAAGGTCCCGTATCCAAATAGAGTCCCATTCCGAGGTGTGAGGGTTACTTAAAGGTCAGAGTTTGGGCACAACACAACTTAGCTCATAACAGTACAGAAAAAATTCTGGCCCAAAGATAGTAAGCTGGGCATATGGTTCAGTGAGAGAACATTTGTCTAGCATATGAGATGCCCTGGGTTCCATTTATTTCTAGCACCGAGAGAAACAAAGATAGAATAAATCCTTTCTCATAATGACAAAAGAAAACAGAAACAAATATGTCTCATTAAGATACTGCATACTGATAAATATATTAGAGCACATCCATTTGATTGAAAAACATTTTTAAAAAGCTTCATTTCTGTTTGCTGATATGAAATGAAACCAAATTTATCACTCATTAATGAAAAATATTTCCAAAAGATGAGAAGTATAAAATAAAAAGCGGCCTTTAGTCTGAGAACACGGACAGAGTTCGGCACCCCCACTGCTGGCGATCTCTCCGCTGGACACGTGGCGTGGGGGCCTGTAAATAGCCTCGGTTTGGGGTGGAATCTAAGGCGGGCATTAGGGATGCACAGGTAGCCCATTGGTCCTAGGTTTGGCGCCATATGTAAATTTCCAGGGGCGGGAAGATGGCATCACAGGTAACTTCCTAGGGGTGGGCCAGATTGGTG